GATAATTTGTTTTAGTCGATTGGCCATGGTTTATGTTTTTGGACGGTGGGAGGAAACCGGGGAACCCGGGGAAAACCCACGCGAACACAGGGAGAACATGCAAACTCCACACAGAAACACCAACCGGCCCGATGGGTTGGACTGGCGGTGTTCTTGCTGTGAGGCAACAGTGCTTGCCACTGGGCCACCGTGTCGCCCGATCAGAAAAAGTGGGAGGATGTAGGGGTGGAAAGGGGGGGAAGCTTTAAGACGAAAATAACTGGAGTGAAAAACTCAGGTTATTTATAATGCTTCCGAAATCATCTAATAGGGCTGATTACGGAGCTAACAAGGAGCCAGCCGTGTTGATTATAAGCACGTGATCCTCTCGAAATTAGTTTATGAATAAACCACACTTAATAAAAATACTGCAAATGGATCCCTCTGTGTCAGCCACTTCGTTACACTTATGATTATGTTACAAACTTGGAATCACCAATACAATTAAACAACATCTGTCTCATAAGTTTAGTTCCTAAATGTTTGAATCAAACAATATCGGCATTTTTTCAGGTTGCCCAAGCTACTGCTCATGCACACTCAAAAGTAACGAGATCACAACACCAACCTAATTTATGGCCATTCTACACATTATCATCCTCTGGATAATGATCATCTGATCACGCTGCTCTTCAGAAGTAATTCACAACTTTTTCTTGATAGCGAATCTCCTCCAGAAATGACAGCGACTCTTTATTTACAAGTTTGTGGGTGTTCGAGTAGTTGCTGTCATGTGATGTGCGTTTGACAGGACTGTACCTCACGTTCATTTCATACAGATTACAAAACCAAAAAGCTTTTGTTATCAAGTGTAATTGGTGTCTTTAAAAGTAGTGATTTCGAACTTTATGTGTGTATATTTCTTATGTCTGTGAAGCAAGTACATGCTAAGATTCCAGTGCATTTGTTGACCACACAATCTGTCGTAAGAGCACACAAAAAATGAAATGTCAGTCTATAGCGATCACTGATTGGCTCTTGTACTAGTAGGTGGGGCTTCATTTGCCATATTGACTGTTACATCCATTCAAAACTATACGAATCACACGTCTTGTATATTTTATAGTCTTTGTGTACACACAAGTGTCTTTACAACGATCAATTAAAATAACACTTTAGTTCATCTTTATAACTGAAATATGACACTACTACTAATACAAATATTAATAATACACTACCTTTAGGAATGATTGTATAATTTATATAATTTATAATGTAATTTAGAATTTTTTAATTCATAACATACATTTTTTTGTTAAACAATAAATAAGCTTTTTCAGTAAAAAGTATTTCTGTTTAACTTTTAAGAAATTGTTGTCAAATTCAGCAAGATCATATTTTCAATCAATTGTAATGTTTTTAAAATGACTAAAACTCATTTTTTAATCACTGAAATGGATTTATTATTTTAGGTGAATACTTTTCTTCTCAAATTGCAGGAATAGATTATGTAAACAAAATTCCGGCCACATTGGTCATAGCAGCGTCAGTCTATCAATATTCCTCATCTGATCCTTACGTAACTTTTAGCTGTGCGTTTGTCCGGCTTGACAGCATTGATTTATGATGCTCCATCATGTTTCATCTTATGCTGGTTATTAGGGAATGATATAATCTATGCGTACTTGTCACTCTTTATACGCGCAGTTTCAGAACAGACTGCATCAGAAGAAACAGCCTTCAGTTGATGCCTGTCAGCATTTTCTGATCAGCAGCAACACAGCAGATATGAACTATTGAAGTGCTGTGCATGCATTTAATCCGACCCAGCTACTTTTGGGGACAGCATTTATGAAAGTTTTTTCTACACAAGTGTTACTTATAGTCATTAGAATTTGTTTAATTTATAAACTGTGGCAGTACACAGTCATCAAAAATAGTTCCTGAACGATTGTTTGCAGTAGTCCAGAAGAACATGTGGGGTCTCATGGGACTTCAGTTATAGTTTAATTCATCAACTTTGCCACAGATGTGTCTTCTAGAAATAGAAATGAGGAAATTGTTGATGTAGATTTATAGAGAGTACAGGTAACACTTTAAGGCAAGGTTCCAGTTGTTAAAGGTATAGTCCACACTAAAATTTTCTATTGTCAACATTTATTCACCTTCCATTTTGTTCCAAACACTTCTTCTGTTGAACACAAAGGAACATATTTAGAACAATGTTGGAAAATGATTGACAAAACATTTTTGTCCTACTAAGTCGATGTGCACCATTTTCCATTTTTCTTTTATGTTTGACAGAAGATGTAAACTGTTTTGGGTTTTAACATTAGTTAAGTATTTTAAAATTACCCAAAACAATTGTTCTGCCACATATGTTGATGTTGTATCTGTCGATTTTATTTTATCACACAAAGCATTTAATAATGTTAGTGAATGAGACTTTATATTGAAAGTTGTGAAAAGAATATGTCTTCCATAACTTATACTTGAGAGACTTTGATGAGAAATGTTTGAGATTTTGATTCAGAAATTTTTGTCTTTTTAGGACAAAAGTTGGTACAGTTCTTTTGTTCAAATCTGTTCTGAAGCTTGCATGTGAAAACACATTTGGGATTACTGGGGACTTCTTCAATAAGTAGCGGATTTAAGCAAAAGTCCCCATTTGGTGTCTGTTGCTGGCAGTTGACTCATTTGGTGTTGTTCAAAGCCACATATCCTTCTTTTTCAGACAACAGAAGAAAGATTTTTTAAAAAGGCCTTCTTTTTTCTGAGCATAAAGCATTTTAAATAAAGAAAACCTGAAAAAACACAAAAGTATCTCATGCAGCTCAAGCTTTATATTCCAATTTTCATTTGACAGTACAGTGGAGTTAGTTGAAAATCAAACTGAAATAACTTCATTATGTATCAACATCTTGACTATGGCTGTTAGTCTTTTGTACAAACATTTTTAGAAATCAAAATGGGCATAAAGTAATATCAATGCACTGTCTCCTCTGAGCAAAATAAACTGTTTGTGTTATTTTAACGAAATTTAACTTGAGTGCAAATCCATTTTGGGCATTTCTAAGCATTTGCTTCTGATGTTTTTGTAAATTTTTGTGTGTAGATTGTTTAATTTGTGTAGATGTGTAGATATTATTTTGAAGTAGTTAGCATCACAATCAAAGTCCCTTTCTTTCATATAAGTCGTTCATTGATTATCGTTGTTTCATATTATCGTTAATTGATTAAAAAGCTTGTTTGGCATGCTGTCTCGGGAGAGAGCCCTGAGCTCATAAAATCCTCGAGCCTGGGGCTTCCTCCCTCAGGCGAGAGGGGAGTTGGAGCTCAAGTAGAACTCGAGAACTCCCCTGCTGTAGTTGCTGATGAACAGATAGTGATTGCTCTTAATAGATAACTACTTACTTAAATCATGTCTATAGTGCTGATTTGGATTAGTCAATTAACTTAAGTTGTATGTTTTTATACGGTGGGAGGAACCAGTGACGTTCTTGCTGTGAGGCATCAGTTCTATCTACTGGGCCATCGTGCCACCCATTTAGGAAAGAAGGGTGGAAGGGGGATTCTTCAAAACGAAGATGGCTGTTACATGGAACTTAGGGTGTTTACAGTGGCTCAGGAATAGTCAGATTGGTAAATCATAAATTGAATAATACGGGATGAGCAGCAAGCAATCATAAGCATGTGATCCTCTCGAAATTAGTTTATAAATAAACTTCACATAATTTCCAACGTAATCCTGACCACAAATTTCCTTTCAAAATGAGAGCTACCTCGTTGTTTACAAGTTTGTGCTTCAATGGCCTGTACCTCACATTTTTTTTGCTACAAAATAAGTTTATTTGTTTTCAAGTGCAATTTGTTTATTTAAAAGTAGATATTTCAAGCTTTATGTATGTGTCTCATGTCTGTGAGGCAAGTATTTTCTGAGATTCCATCATGTTTGCTGATCACGGAGGGTTTAAATCAGTGAAGCTGAAGAAACTGTCGTAAAGGACACACATCTGGACTGAGTCCTGCCCCTGGAGAATCATCATAGACTGGCTGCTTTACTAGAAGGCTTCGCTTCCCTCATTAGAGTGTCCATGTTGACTGTTGTATTTTTCGCTGAGTGCATTTTGTATTCTACAGTTTTGTCACAATGGATCATCCTCATCTTCTATAATTTAGGTTGTTATGTTTGTTAAATTCTATTCTGAAAAACTTTTATTGTATCTTTATCATGGGTTAATCAGGCTGCGTGGATAATGCTCATTGAAGAAAGTATAATCTGGCAACCAACTAATAAACGTGTCTGAAAGCTTCGCGTAGATTGTTTATACAGATGTTGATGGAAACCCTTAGCGCTATGGCCTTTCTCTTTCTACTTTTCCTCTCTGTTGCCTTTGCACTCAATCTCTCTCTCTCTCTCTCTCTCTGTCTTTTCCTCCCTCTTTTCTTCTCTGTCATTTGGCAGCTGTTTTCTCGGTGCAGTCTGCTGGAAAGCGAGTCTTTGATATAAGGCCTTGGATTTTTCCTCTCTGAAATACGATCTCGACCTGCCTCTTTCCCAGCATTCATCTGTGTGTTTATGCGTGTATGTTTATGTGCATGCTATGTTTGTTTTTTTCTTCCTCGACACTGATTGGATGCACTTTAATGGCAGGGCCGAGATCTGTCCAGTTTTGAGCAGCAGTTAACTGCAGCATTGCATTTTTCTGCAACTAAATAAACGTCCTTTAATCGAATCAGTCCGCCTGTATGTGAGCGCAAGTGTCTGTCTTGCTTTCTTTCACCCTCAGCGGGATGTGCTTTACAGAACCGCGCTCTCTGTTTTTGGATTTGCACAGTTGGATTATTCAGCAGGTCATATTTACTTGTGTTCTGTGTGGTTTGTTTAACATTTTATTTTCAGCTGCTGAAACTGCCCGTCAGTAACTGCGCTTTATTTAGCATGCTAACATTTCTGTGTAATATTGTTATTTATTGTGACACTATGAATTCACAAATGTATTCTTTTCTCTGTTTTACAGGTGGAAACCTCATCTGTGACAAATACCTCTACCTGCAGATACGTAGGTATGTTTAAGTGTGTATAAGTGAGACGGGTGTGATTGTGTTTTTTTCCCAAATGGGTAGTTAAAGCCTTCTTAAAATGACATGCCAAGAATTCTTTAGCTTTCCCTCACATTCCTGCTTTTTTTTCACTCCTTGTAAAGACTCCAGTGGATTTAAGGGTGTGTGTTATGATTATAGCTGTTGCATCCAGACGCCGAACTCTGTCTCTTTTAAGTGCTGCAGAATTCATTTCTTTAAGTGAAGTTAGAAGTGGAAAAGAACCGAGCTATGAAGCTGTATTTCATTCTATGGTTTAGTGTGCAATAATCCGGCTTCAGCTGTGGAGTCTGTCCTCTCTGAAGTTTCAGTTGCAGCAATTGCATTTCGTAAGACACATTCCAGGGAACAATAGCCAGAACATTTTTTTTCCCAATCAACAGAGCCTTGAAAGCTTTATTTTATAGAATGTCAATTGCATTACTGTTTTGAAAGGAATATTTGACACACAGTAAAAATGTTGTCATCAGCATCAGATTTAAATAATTGCTTTATTCTTTAGCACAAATCTTAAGCAGAATAACAGGGCTGCTGTTTGCAGAACAAGGAGAGTGGTGGTGATTTATACTGCCATCCTCTAAAAAGACAAAAAGGCTCTATAAAAGTACCATTAAAGTAGTCAACATGACTCATGTGCTGTGCTTTAGTCTTCTGAAGCCATTCTATGGCTTTGTGTAAGAAACAGACATCATTTTCCCATCCATTGTAAAACATTCAAAAACATTTTTACATCAAAAAATGTGTAAATTAATCAATCAGTATGTAAGGAATAATTTATTATGTCAGACTATAGTATATACAGTATATAGAAGGCAGAAAACATGCCACTTATATAGTTGTATAGCAAATCATCAAACATCAAACACTATCGAATGATTATTCTCTGTGGGAGGGGCTTGTTTCAGATGTGTGTTCTTATGACAGTTTCTGCAGCTTCATTGTTATGGCTAGTGCTCTGGAATCTCAGTAAATACACACAGCAAATGACCTTAAAAGAGCAGTGTCTGTTATTCAGAGGATGATACAGTATGTCTAACACACAAGTTACAAATTCTTAAATAGTTTGATTGTCAGGATGATGTCTGATCGTTAGGGCCAGATAGAATCTGCTGACATTTTTTGCTATTTCTGCAGAGAATTTTGTTAAAATCTGTGGATTTATGTGCAATGATTTTAGGAGTATCATAACTAAAAACTAATTATATGAAGTCAACAAATAATATATTTTTAACGTTTATTTAATGTTTACAATCCAAATCCAACATGATCCACTTATTTGATAAACAAAGCAAGTCTTTCATATAATCTCTCTACTAAAAGACAGAACATAAACTTTCCAAACTGTATTGTAAACAAATCACATGAACATTTTAATATTATTATTATATCACAATAATATTAGTGAAATTAATTAAAAAACTTAATAAATATTTATTTACACACATTTACACAATTAAATACATGCACTTAATGATGGGCTAAAACTCTGTGCAGGCCTTATAATTCTAAGGGGACGATTTATAGCTTAGGCAGCATGAAAAAAATGCTGTTTTTTGTGGTTGATTAAAACATTTAGAAACAAAGTGTAAGATACAGTAATCATTTCATTTAATTGGTGATTCTAAATATGAATTTAAATTTTGAACTTGGGAAAAACTATTGGAGATATTGATGTGTCCCCAATCAAAGAGATAGGAGATGCAGCATTTTTTAGATGCAAAGATTCATGCTGTATGAAGAGCCAATCATAATGAAGCATTTCTCACCACCAAGTATAAATATGAATAATAGTTTTTATTAATTTTAAATTTGTTCACTTGTAAATCAAGTTTCTTTAGTAGATGTTTATACTGTTTCAATATAATTTGTATGGGAAAAGATCATATTTATAATGTCAAACTTTTACCTGAATTTATTATTATTATTTTTTTTTTTTGTAGTGTGAGATTTTCCTTGAGTTGTATTTAATACAATAAGGGTCAATTTGACCAACATCATAAAAACTGTACCCAGAAATCAAACATAACATGAAGCTTAAGTGCTTTGAGGCTTTTCTTTGTGATAAGTGTTTCATTTTGAATTTACTTTGCAATGTCACACTTCATTCAAGTCCAAGTACTTTAAAAGTACATTTTACTGAAAACCACAATGTTCACTGTAATCCTCATTTCATTCTTAAGGCTAGATCTGTGGAGCTTTCCTTCAGTGGGTAACAGTAACCAAAGGGTGCAGAGCTTAGCAAAGGGTCAATTACTGTGGTCAGGCTCAATTCAAACACTCAAACATACACACACACACACACACACACACACACATGCTTTCTGTAAGGTCATGAGTGCGAGCGAGAGAAGGATGATGGTGAAAGAGGGATTTCAGGGAGGTTTGCCACCAGTCTGACATCTCTAATTAAAGCTCACCACACTCAACTGCTCTTCTTCTGTTTGTTTTCTGGTCTGGGTTTTGCACAGATACACAAAGTAGCAAACTAAATCCAAATTGCAGTGCTTATCTGTCCGTTTTTTTTTCACACTGTATCTTTGTTTTCCCCTCCCGCTCTTTTCTGTGGAGGCTTGTTTTGTGCCACTGATAAAAAAAAAAAATCGGAACTGCAGTGTTGGGCAAGCTACTTAAAAAATGTAGCGAGCTAAGCTATCAGCTACTCTACTTAAAATGTAGCTTAACTACACTAAAAACTACCCTCTGGGAAATGTGGCAAGCTAAGGTACAATATATTTTTTAAGCTACTTTTGCAATTTTCATTTTTAAATCGAAGCAACTTAAATCCAAGTCAATCATATCATAGTGATCAATAAAACTGTCAAAAAACATATGAGGCATAATTGTTCATTTCAATAATTTACTGCAAATAATATGCTGTACTAAACAGAAACAAATGATAGTATATAACAGCAAAAACAAAAAATCCAATAAAACCAAGTGTTACACAATTAAAATACTATAGGAATTTATAGTTAAGAGAAATATATAGGAATAAGCATTGTATTCTATATATATTTACAACTCTTCATTAATGAATTACACTACATAATGTAGTATCATTAGTAACTATCATGAACTAATAGTAATTACCATAGTATACTTTAGCCTTTACTATTAAACTATATATATCTGGTTGGCGATGTCACCTACCAGAGCGAGAGGTGGCAGTAATGCACCAAAAAGTTTGTTGTTGGATCACCATAAAACAGGAAGAAGAAGAAATCGTCATTCTCGCCATCATATGGATTTACTTTCATGGGTTAGACATCGGCCCCGTGAATGTCAATGCCGTCACTTATTGATCCGCGATCAGTAAATGTAGCTTGTGCGGAGGCTACTGCGCTACTTGACTAAAAAAATTGCTTCGCTACCGAAAAACCTATTTGATTTAGAAAGTAGCAACGCTACCTCCATGCTACAAGGAATGTAGTTAAGCTAGTAGCGTCACTACTTGTATTGACGCTACTGCCCAACACTGGTTAATTGTGTCTGTGTATCTCACAATTCTGACTTTTATCACTCAGTTCCAATTTAGATCTCACAATTTGGTGATATTTAAATTTTTTTTTAACTGTGATATATAAAGTTATGAGAATTTTTTTATTTTGAGGAAACAGAGTCTAATATGTTTTTTCTGCCTTTTTAATTTACAATTATAAGATTTTTCTTGCGACATGTCATTGCACAATTCTGAATTTATAATTCTAAATTGTGAGGTTATTATTTTTTAAACTTATGTAAACTTGCAGTTCAAGTTATCCTATTTATTTGGCATTGGAAACAAGGTTTCATAATGATCAAATAAAATAAAAAAAAACACGTGATTTTACAGCTGGGTGATTTTATATCTTAAAGTCTATGTGAAATCCAAATTTACAATGTTTATTTTGCTAGTGCACATTGTTATTCTTTAGGTGAACAATTAAAGCATGCAAGTTAATCCACTGGAAAAAAAAAAAATACTTTCAATCAAAGACAATTAGTTTCTGGGTTTGTATAGTGGCAGTTGTTGCCGTTAGTTTGCTACAAGGGAATGATGTGCAAAATGAACTACTTATTTCTACTAATAACTACTAATATTTCCTTTAAGTTGGAATTGCATCAATACACTGAAAACCTCAGGAACTTCCTTGACATTAACAGACTTTAATATTTAGCATCTAAAATAATACAAATGCATTATTATTATTATTATAAGTCAAAAGCTTTAAACATTTTTTAGAGATATTGATAGATAGATTTGAACACACACACACACACACACACACATGCACACATACAACACTCAGCATAATTGAGTACACCCCATTTTTTTCCATTTCTCAGTGAATATAGGCCATGTATTTTGGTGCATTTAAACAAAACAGATTTATTAAACAGATATATTAAATAAAATAATACAATCACCAAACATATTCAGAAACTGAAAAATAGTACAATTAAATTCAATCAAATTGTTGTAAAAAAATTAGAACCTACAAAATTTCAACAAAATTTTTCCTTCTTTTGTTTTGTCTTGATTTTTTGGGTGTTCTAGTTTTTGGACCGTTATCGTTAAGTTATTTTGTTAGATAACCTCCAGTTTGGCTTTAGTACTGACTAACCTAATGTATATGCACAAATATAATATTGTATAGCTTCCTATTAAAATATGAATTTAAACAATAGATTTGTGAGGGGTGTACTTATATATGCAGAGCAATGATTATATATTTACTAACATTTAATAAGAGATGCTGCTGCTATTAAAACATTAATCAGACTGCTCATATTCATAAGTGCATTCAAATTCTTGTGACTTTTAAGAGGAGGTTTAAATTTGACACATTTAGTGTGGATGTATTACCCAGCCCTAGTTATTTTTGGTTCTAATGTTTATACATGAATGCCCTTTGATCTGCGCGGTGAAAAATGATTTCATTCATATTCAGCACCCAGTTAGGTGATTCCCCTGGAGACTAAGTGTGTGTTTCTGTTTGTGCCTCCACCCTGACAGTTATTTTTGTCATTGCGCTCCAGATACATTTTCCCACCCCATGCTGTTTACACGCACAGCTGGAGAAGTCACACACACACTCACACATCACTAACCTTAGCTGAGGGATGGGCATAGTGAAAACCCATTAAGTAGAAATTTCCATACGCTATCTAATCATAATGTTTTATTGTGTGCAGAGCATATGTCTTGAGTGCTTCCATGGTGATAACCCGCTGCTGATTCGCTGAAACCTTGATGATGCGCTGACTCTACATCATGGCCCATGAGGCTCTGTGGAAATACCCACAATCCTCAGCTCCCTGGTGAGTACGGCTGACTGCTCGTCGTATAGAATGGGTTTGCGTTCACTTGTGATGATACACAGATATGATGTGTTCACAAAACTGTAATTAAAGCTACACATTTTCAATTGTGAATTTTAGATTGGATTAGATTAGATTCAACTTTATTGTTTATGCACAAGTGCAAAGCAATGAAAGATAGAAAAGAAAGAAGTGCAAGTGCAAGAACCGGTCAATTTATTAGGTACACTTTACTAGTCCCGGGTTGGACCCCCCCCTCCCCCCCCCCCAGATTTTGGTTTATATTGACATGATCTCCTGTTCCACCACATCCCAAAGGTGCTCTATTGTATTGAGATCTGGTGACTGTGGAGGCCATTTGAGAACAGTGAACTCATTGTGATGTTTAAGAAACCAGTCTGAGATGATTTGGGCTTTATGACATGGTTTGTTATCCTGCTGGAATTCTTGGGCACACTGTGGTCATAAAGGGATGGACATGGTCAGCAGCAGTACTCAGGTAGGCTGTGGCGTTGACACGATGCTCAGTTGGTACTAATGGGCTCAAAGTGTGCCAAGAAAATATCCCCACACCATTACACCACCACCAGCCTAAAGCACTGATACAAGGCAGGATGAATCCCTGCTTTTATGTTGTTGTTGCCAAATTCTGTGCTGCTGTAACCCATCTGACTCAAGGTTGGATATGTTGTGCATTCAGAGATGCTCTTCTGCAAATCTCAGTTGTAATGAGTGGTTATTTGAGTTACTGTTGCCTTTCAATCAGCTTGAACCAGTCTGACCATTCTCCTCTGATAACTGGCATCAACAAGGCATTTGCACCCACAGAACTGCCGCTCACTGAATATTTTATCTTTTTCGGACCCATCTCTGTGAGCCCTAGAGATGGTTGTGCGTAAAAATCCCAGTAGATCAGCAGTTTCTGAAATACTCAGACCAGCCCGTCTGGCACCAACAACCATGCCATGTTCAAAGTCACTTAATTCACATTTCTTCTCCATTCTGATGCTGGATTTAAACTGCAGCAGATCGTCTTGACCATGTCTACATGCCTAAATGCATTGAGTTGCTGCTAGGGTTGTAACAATATACCGGTATGACGGTCTACCACGATTTGAACGTGCACGATTATCATACCATTGCATATCAACGGTTTTAACCCTTAAAGACCGAGACAGCCGCCCGCTGCTAAAAATAAGTATTGCTCTTAAATGTTTAATAACTTTTGATGCGCTGATCCGATTCATACAATTCAAAGATTGGCATAAAGAAGAGAATCTCAGCTTTCCAGTGCTGTATCACATAACATTCGCGGCTCCGGAGGCTCCGGAATCAGTGCGGTTACGTCATCAAAATTTGACAACGCTGATTTGACAAAGAAACGCTCGTCACTGTGTCTCCGGACAAACCAGACACGATACATTGATGCATTGTCCCTCCTCCATGCCCAGATTGGTTCAAACTCGCTATATCACAACCAATAAGCATAGGTTTCGCTTTTGTTTGTGGACCAAAAACGAGCTTTTTGAATAACACGGAATGAGAGATAGGCATACATTTATGCGCGGCTAAATAAAACGCAAAAAAAAAGTTTTGCATGAAATAATTCTCATACTAAGTACTTTTGCATGCACAGCAGCACAGAAACATGACAAAACAGTGACACAGCAAAGACGAACTGCTGCTCTTGCTGTTTTCAAAAGACGCAAATGAAGGTGCAGCTGTTTGTCTGAATTTAGTTTCGTTATGTAACTATTTATAGTATAGTAAATATTTATATCTATTTTTTTACTGAGGATTTGCACCATGTTTATTTGGACTTTATTTGGACTTTGACACATTATTTATTATTTTCTTATTTTTTTATTTGTTCATTGTAAGTGGTGTTGTTTATAGTAACTGAAAATATATTATTTGGAAAAAGTCAAATTTGCTTCACTGTTCTATTATTTTGTAACATTTGTAACATACCGTATACCGCGAAACCGTCAAACCGTGGTATTGTTTTAGACGATTATCATACCGTAAAAAATTCATACCGTTACAACCCTAGTTGCTGCTATGTGATTGGTTGATTAGAAATTTGCGTTAACAAGCAGTTGGACAGGTGTACCTAACAAACTGGCCGGTTAATGTAGGTATATAGTTATTAGTGTATTTGTAGAAAACTCTAGGTAATATTTACAGATGGATTTACAATGAACATAATATACAAGTTGTATTAACAAGAATCAGAGATTTACAAATAGACGAACATACTGTGCAGGTTGCTATTAATAATCAGGGATATGGAAATAGATTTGAACATATTACACAGGTTGTTATTTGCAAACTATTGAATATTTACTGAATATTAACAGCATTTAAATAATTTTAATTACATGAATAATAATTACTTAAAAGTATATGATACATATTTAATTCATAAACATGTTAAATGTTTGAATTTGCTTGTGTGCAATATTGTAAAAATGTTTTATATCTATGGATAATAAAAATCTGTAATTATGTTTTTTGTTGCAGATATACACTGACAGTGTCTCCGGCTCAAAGAGAAAACCTGTACAAGGTCAGACAGCCCATTGTGACAGAAGGTTTTTTGTGCAGGGCTCTTCACTAAAAAAATCTACTAGAGATGTACTGGCTACTAATTCCTGACTCATCACATGGTGTTATTTGATTAAATTAATGTGAAGCACATAAAGAGATCCCTACTGTTGCCAACAGTAACTAGATTTGAAATTCAAATGAAATCTCAATTTCTTTTAGTATGGAGCCCTGTTTGTGTCTGTCTGTCGTTATGTTACATGTCGAATTACTGCATGATTGGTTAGATTTTCTTTTGTAATGAATGCAGTGTTTCCATGAATCTACTCTTTGAGTGTTGGCAAAAATCAGCTCATCTTTTGGCACAAACCTGATTTAATTTTCCACCCAATCGCATCAAAGAATGAAGCGCTGGGTTTTAAATCAGCTGTAATCACATTCAATTCCCATCAGATTAAGTTGATTTTAAATGTGATAATTCAGTTAGGTAGCACAGGAGCAGCACGGAGCAAATGGGAACGTCATTGCAGATTCAGTCCTGGCGTCGATCTGATATTATTAGCATTTTATATTCCTTCACATTTAATAAAGGAAATGATGGGTGATCCCCATGTAAAAATTGCTTCTGCATTGCTTAACTTGGCTGCTTTGACCCCGTTTACACCTAATCTGTCCTGACGTGTCCTGACCAACAGCAAGGGCTGCTGCTCATCTGTCAATCAGCTACTGGACAAAAACTTTGCCAAAATGCTGCTTTTACTTGATTATTAGATGCACTTTAAAAAAAAAAAAACAGATTTTTCTTATATGTTTTATAGTGATATCTTTAATGTATTAAAACTTTGTTTGCTTGTCTGTTTGAATAATTGTTATTGTATTTATTTTATTTGTATAATTCTTAATTGATTTTGCCAAAATGATGGGCATTGAAGATGAGATAACATTAAATTATATATATAATACGACACTATTGGTCTCTGTTTGTTAAATACAGAGTGTGTGTGTTGTTTTGACTGCTTTTTTTACCTGTTCTCTCCTTAGCCATGATGTCAGTCTGCGTGCCCTCACCACACAACTCATCCCCTTCCGTGGATGCAGCCAATCGCAACGGGCCCTCTGCAACTCCGCCCACTTCCCTCAGTTTGCGTTCCTCACACAATCAGTTGCTCAGTGGTGATGTTATCAAACAGGGCCAGGCCACGCCCCCAAAGTGCCGGAAGAAGTATGCTCTAACAAGTATTCAGAGTGCAATGGGTCTCGGCGAAGGTGTGATGCCACCATCATCTTCATCAGCAACTACTGCCAACCCTAAACTGGCCAAAAACGGTGCAAATCAGTTACGCAAAGCTGCCGAGAGACAGGACCACAACAAAAACACTACTGAAGAAGAGGAAGAAGATGAAGATGGAAACACAGCAGCCCAATCAGAGCTCAGCATCGACGATGAGTTGAGGAATATTGAGGAATTAAGTCTGGACAGCGAGTCTAATGTCGACGACGTTCACAGTGACTTTGACGCCAACAACGAGCTTGTCGATGAGGAAGTAAACAAGTTAATTGAAGATGACACTAATGAGGAGGATCACGTTGAGAATTGTGATGACCTGCTCATTCTATCTGAGAAAAGCGAAATCGTTTCAGACAAGAAGTCCCCTGAGCACCTTAAGACCAAGAGTTATCTGGAGTCATGCCTGGATGGTCTGTCATACCAGCTGCCTGATTCGCAAGACGACGACATCACTAAGCCTTTGCTGGAGAACAAGAAGGATCCCTGTCCCGCATCTCCAAGAAAACCACAGAGCCCCGAGGACACACCCCTGCTGTCTGTCGGCTCTTCATCTTCCTCTTCCTCGCCAGAGACAAAAAAAGACAGACCACGCACAGGAGCCAAGACAGACAGGGCACTAAACCGCATCCAGAACCTTCCACACAGCGATGAGGAGTCTAGCTGGACCACACTGTCACAGGACAGCGCTTCGCTGGGCTCACCTGAAGAGAGCGGTCAGTAGCACACACGTTCACATATGCGTATGTGTGTTTATAGCTTGCTGGTTTTCTCAGTGTGGTTTTGTGTGTGTGTGCTTTGGCTCAGTCTCATGGATGTGTGGCACTCATGTGGTATGTGTGGTTTCCAGTTTGACTGAAGTGCGTTGGCAGAGAGGTTTTTGTGTGTTTGGACTTTACACTTCACTGAAGTGTGATCTAGGTGAACGCAGCACAGTGTGGGTCGGGTTTGAAGCTGTGAAGGAAAACTTGTCAAAAGTGGTTTTCTTATTGCGTGTGTGGTGCTGTGTAGTTTACTTTAAATTATCTGTTGAAGAGGTAAATTGCCCATTTTAATAGCTGTAATTGATGCTTATAATCTAAATCAAGAATGTTAAATAAGGTAGAGACATACAAAGGTGTTCATAGCAGTTGGTCACCAGGACTGGAGTTTACAGTCTGCTGTTGAGTGGTCTCAGTACCCCTCATTTAAAGAGTTGCTTCACCCAAAAAATGTAAACCTTGTAAGTTGTTCCAAACTTGTAATACTATTGAGTAAAAGTATAATACAATATTCTTTGTGAAGTTTATTTATAAACTAATTTCGAGAGGATCACATGCTTATGATTGATATTCAATTTATGATTCACCAATCAGACCATTTCTAAGCCACTATAAATACCTATAAGTTCTATATGACAGCCATCTTCGTTTTGAAGAATCCCCCCTTCCACCCCTACTCCTCCTTCTTCTATTCCTACATGAGTGGCACGGTGGCCTAGTGGTTAGCACAGTTGCCTCACAGCAAGAACTGGTTCTAGTCCTTACCAAGCCAGTCGACGTTTCCTTACGGAGTTTACACGTTCTCCCTATGCTCACATGGATTTCCTCGGGTTCCCCGGTTTCCTCCCACCGTCCAAAAACATGCAACTCAAGTTAAATGACTAATCCAAATCAGCACTATAGACATGCTCCTAGTAAGTAGTTATCTCTTAACAGCAATCACTATCTGTTTATCAGCTACTATAGCAGGTGAGTTCTCGAGTTCTACCTGAGCTCAAACTCCCCTCTTTGCTCCCGCCTTGCAACGGGAGGGAGCTTCGGGCTCGAGGATCTCATGAGCTCAGGGCTCTCTCAATTCAATTCAGTTCAGCTTTATTTGTATAGTGCTTTTACAATGTAGATTGTGTCAAAGCAGCTTCACATAAATGGTCATAGTAACTGGAACAGTGTAGTTCAGTTTTTAGTGTTTAAGTTCAGTTCAGTTCAGTTCAGTTTAGCTCAGTTCAGTGTGATTTGGATAGCATACCAAATAAGCTTTATAATCAATCATCAGCTAAGTGTGAACTCTTAAAATTAATATGTGAAGGTTGTTGTATAACAGAATATTTTTTTTCTTGCACTTTTTGTTTTTCAAGACATTTTTCAGCATTCACACCCAAGCAATTTCCACTGGTGATGAGCAAAATCACACTATGACTGTAGATAGTGTTTGTGGGAAAAACCTGCAAGCCATGAAAGAAAATTAAGTGAAATGATACGAATCCTATTTGATATGCAATTGCTCTCCATACAACTCCCTGGTATTAACATTTTGTAGTCGCTTTCACGTTTATCATACAGCTCTTTGTGTTCAGACAACAGTAAAACAAACCACTCCACATTCATCTTGCTTTGATGCATCTATTTCATCATTTGGAGGGTATGCTTGCCAAGTTTCGTGCTTAAAGAGTAACAGCAGGTCTAGACACATGAACAAAAGTGCGTCAAATCTGTTTTGTCAATCAATCAAACAAACAAAAACTTTGAATGTTGGTGTACGTGATTACATTCACATCTTTTGTTTAGTTACCAGGTATTAAACATGATCACTGAACATGTGCACAGCAAAATAAATATCAGATATATGGCAATATATGCAGATTACATAAATGGCATACAAGTTCATATTTGGATTTCACATATAAAGTATATATTATACGTATATACAAGATATATTTCAAAATATTGCAAAAAGGATTGGAACTAGCTGCTGATATTGAGTACTGATTCCTTGTCATGGTGATCAGCCGATAGTAAGTACCTATTCTAATGCTTCAAGCTTCATAATGCTTTAAGCACATTTTGCCTCTTAAGTATGAAAGTGGAGTGGAGATCTCACTTTATCTAAGAGAATAAACTAAGGATACTGCATATAATACCTTAAACACGTCTTTTATAACCATTTAGGTATGAACATGTCATGGCCTGAAGCAGCTTTACAGAAAATAATTAATCCATTTATTTGACTTCGGCTTATTTCATTATTTGTCAGGGGTCGCCACAGTGGCATGAACCGCCACAACAATTGGTAAGAAAACTTACAAACAATGCAATTTGGAAACATTGCAAATGATGAAAGAAGAATTCAACATGTCTCAATGTAGAAAAAGTTTGGAGCGCATATTTGATGCATGACAATTTAAAATCCACAACTAGAAATTCTAATACATCTTTACAATGAACTGTGAACAGAGGTCGCACCGCAACTGCATATGGTTTAACGGCTGTAACGCGAGGGCTCATGCCCCCACACATCATGCACCTCCTGTTGTGGCTGCTGTACATACGCGTCTACCTCTGCTTGTAAACTCATAAACAAACCCCTGCGATCGGTTCATATAATCGGCTGAACTGGTGAGTACCGATCGAGCCATGAAATGTGATTATCGGCCGAACGATTGAAGTATCTCTAATTGGAACCATTGGATTGCAACTATTGGAATTACAAATTTTTACATATATGTTCAAATAAATTAGCTATAATTTGATATGTATTCATATATTGGCATTTTCTGCTGGAGATCATGGATCTGCACAGAGAGAGGCAATGTAACTGTAGCTTGGTGTGGTCCAACATGTATACAATTTAATCAGACTGCTGGTGGCTTGTTATATGTACAATATTCAGTTAGACATTGTAATGCTGAGAAAGACAAATAAAAACAATAACTTGACTACTCAACACCTATGCTTAAAGTCAGATATGCCTAAAGGAAGAGCTCACTCAAAGTGGTGATCATTTGATGCTCATCATTTACTCACCCTAAACTTGTTCCAAACCAGTTTGTGTTTTTTTGGTTTTGTTGAACACAAAAGATGATATATTTAAAAAAGATTTTTGAAAATAGTTATCTATTGACTTAAACAGTATTTGTTTTTACTGTTATGCATGGAGGTTTCCAGCATTCTTCAAAATAGTTTCTTTTGTTTTTAGCAGAAAAAAAAAGTTTGGAATAAGTCAAGGCTGAGAAAATGGTGACAGAAATTTAATTTTAGGTGAACTATCATTTAAATTGTTCTTAATCATATGTACTTAAAGGCAGAATATATTGAAGCTGCACAATTAGTAGAAAAAAGATTGCGATCTCAATTCAACCCTACACACAATCTTAATTCAGTTTTTCTTCAATTCAGCCAATTATATTTTTAAGTTCAGGTAAGAAAGGGGGTTGATTTCACATTGTTTAATATGTGTTGCAGCAACATGGACACCTCCAAATGGTGTTAAAAGTGTCACATACTGTATTTATAAGGTATAATTCACTCAAATGTCATTTCTCTTTTTATAAAATGATATATTTGCGGCCGTGGAATCACACATGAGCTGACGCACTGTTTGTTTACTACAGAGAAGATGCATGTGTGCCCGCCAATGATGACTACTTTAGTGAACAGAATTTGCATAGGGTGTGAATAACAGGAAATAAAGTTGTAAATAACGTTCAGATTGTTGCACAGATCGATTACCATATGTTCAAGAAGTAACATTAATAATACCCTAATCATATTACTTTTATTTACATCATATTACTTTTATTTACACAAAAAATAAAATAAAATAAATATATATATATATATATATATATATATATATATATATATATATATATATATATATATATATATATATATATATATATATATATATATATATATATATACATATACATACATACAATGACACAGGACCTGACAGTGGCATCATACCTGAGAAATCTTTAATGTTTTTTCTTTGAACCGTTGTAGAAGCCATGAAAAATTGCACATCCTGAAGAAATGTGAATGTAGCAGTTGCAGTGTGATATCTAGCAAGCAACTCATTAATTATCATTGCTGCATGTTCTGTTCTCTGATATAATTCCTTACAACAAAAAATCAAATGAGTAATACATTGCACTAAAAAGATGTCGGATCAGTATTGTACAATATAGATGCTAATCTTGTATGTGTTAAATTAGACGTGATCAACTATTTGGATTTGTTTACATGATGTTCTAATATCAATGTTAGTGTCTCATGCTAGCCATCAAGCTAATGCATATAATAATGTTACAGCATAACAGCATTCAACACATTCAAACTGGTTAGTCCAAATGTTTGATGCTTGCCATGAGGGTTTTAACTGGTGCCTTCCACATGATGTGACACCATGTGTTTGTTTGGGTGTTTGCTTTAGAAGGGTTTATGCTAGAGGGAAACAAGACCTCTAAGTTGCAATTTGTAAAAGATGTTGGGAAAAGATTGCATTTACTTGTATTGGTTTTGTTTTGTAATCAGGCTGAGAAATACATTCTAAATTTGATAACGGCCAAAAAGGTCATTCATTTTGCCACATCCCAGTAGGCACACAACATCATAAGACATTAATATTAGGTTAGATTTAGGTCGTGACGTCAGTTATCCAAAAATCAATGTCTAGCCAGCGTCTAAGGACAAATTTATTTTAACTTCCAATAATGACGTCAAATTACATTGATATTTGGTTAATTCAAGGTTGTGGTGGAAAGTGACCAAAATCCAACATCTGATAGATGTCATAGTGGTAACGTCCACACAACGTCAAGTTGTATCATGATTAGATGTTGATATTTGGTTGATTTTTAGCTTGGACGTTGGAAATTGACATCGGCCTGGTGTTGGGTTGTCACGTCAATGGAGTTTTTATTTCCAAACAAAATCCAACGTCTCCACGACAT